GTCAAGGGTTCGGATCCCCTTACTGGCCAGCTACCAAAAAAAAAACCCCAAAAAACAAAGAAGTAGTAGTTGGCTCACTTGGGAGAGCGTGGTGCTGATAACACAGAGGTCAAGGGTTCGGATCCCCTTACTAGCCAGCTACCAAAAAAAACCCCCAAAAAACAAAGAAGTAGTAGCTTCCTCAAGCAAAGAATGGCATTGCCCTTTCTTGTCATTTCTGTAGGATTTCCTTCACAATTGTCACCACAGAATTCTTGGTCAGAGTGTTTGGTAAATCTCATGATTTGGGAAAGGGAGGCAGTTGAAATCAATTATGATTTTCCCCCCTATTTCTTCTTGTTGCTTTCTGTAACAACAGGTTGCAACGAAAAGCTACCTAAAACAAACCTTGATTTCTTACAGGAGATACCAAGAGTTGGTTTTAAGTTTTTAAAAAATATCATTCAATATGATTTTGCTATTGTTGTTTCTTGGAAGAATTAGGGAAAAATAGAAATTTTCAAAAGTGTTTATGTCCTTGGAAATAACCACTTCCTAGTTTCTTTTCTAAGAAGATGTCTTACCATTTTCTCTGAGTGAGTGTGAGCTAGTGGACACCTCACAAACTACGATGAATTAGGTAAATATAATAACCACTTCCTAGTTTCTTTTCTAAGAAGATGTCTTACCATTTTCTCTGAGTGAGTGTGGGCTAGTGGACACCTCACAAACTACGATGAATTAGGTAAATATAATGAAACTTCTGAAGTTCTACATAGTAATTAGTGTACAGTAGGCATCTTTAATACGCACATTTCTAGCACTGGCAGTAGTCTTATATTTGAATATCATGTTAGTTTTCTATTGCTGCATGCCAAATTAATACAGACTTACCAACTTGAAACAGCACACATTTACTCTTTCACAGTTTCCTTGGATCAAGACTCTGATCACATCTTAGATGGTTCCTCTGCTTGGGTCTCACAAGGCTGCAATCAAATTTTTGTTCAGGCTGCACTCCTTTCTGGAGCTTGGTGTCCTCTTGCAAACTCATCAGCATTGAGTTCCTTGTGGCTTTAGGACTAAGGTCCCAGCTTTCTCAAAGCTGGCTGTCAGCCAGGGGCCCTGCTCAGCTCCTAGAGGCCCCTGCAATTTCTTGTCATGTGGCCCTCACATAGGTCCTTTTACAATATGGCAGCTTAACTTCTTCAAAACCTGAAGGAGAATCTTGCTGGCTTTTAGTTCCTCTTTTACAGGGCTCACCTGATTAGGTCAGGCCCACCAAGAATAATATTCCTTTTCTTATCTCCAAAGCAACTGATTAGGGACCTTAATTATATCTGCAAAAGTCCCTTCACCTTTGCAGTCCAACAAGACCTAATCACAAGAGTGACATCCATCATATTTGCAAGTACCACCCACACATGACGGGAAGGGCATATGCAAAGAATGTACATCAGGGGCCAGGAACCTCAGGAGCCTTCTTAGAATTCTGATTACCACAAATTTTAGTGATGAATCTAAAGGAACCTTTGTGAATACTGTTTGTGGCCTGTGTTTTCAAGGTTTTCTTGTTGGGCTTCACACTTTTAAGTGCTGCCAGGGATCAGAGCCACTGAAGGACTAGAATTCCGTGTATGTTTGCCTTTATCTGCTGAACACAATTTGGAATGACTCAGGTAGCTTAGAAAACTGGCAAAGTGTAGAGAAATTCAGAAAGTCCAGGTGTTTAGAAAACCAATGACAAGCCAAAGTGGTTCTTGAAATTTATCATCTATTTTATTTACTACCATTGGGTTTTTTGTACCAATCAAAAGAATGAAAAGTCCCACTGGAATTATGCTAGATTTCTGCTTCTTCTATAAAATTCTTAATTTTTTTATATTGAACTTTGAAGTAATATTTTGTCTCCTCCAGGAAAAAGATGGCATTACTTTATAGTTTTTTCTTAAAAATCTGCTACTTTATAGAAAATGCATTGAAATTAAAGTTTTCATTCATTAAGAGAAAGTCAATCAGTCATCTGTGTAGTAATTGTGTGATAGTTATGCATAGGTAGTTGGCAAACAAAATTTTAACAAGTTTATTTTTAAAGTAACGTATAGAAACAAAATTTGATTTCAAAAATAAAAGCCAAGATTAATGTCCTCTAGCTTTTAACATAGAGCAGTTTACTAGCATTTTGAAATTTCATCTGGTCAATTGAGTATACAAAGCAAATTAACCAAAACATACATTATACATGTAGAGAAAACATTAAAGTATTTAATAAGGAAATGTGCTCAGTATGAGTCTTTAAAAATTGAAAACACTAAGTAATTTTCAGATTCATGACAGCCTTAGGGTTCATATTACTTGACTGGGATAAATTTAGAAGATCATGCATAGTTGGGCTTGTTGTTGTGTGCCGACAGTATTTCTTCCCTCTTTAACCCTTTCAAAGAGGACTTGAATTTTGCTGTTTTTGAACTTGTTTACCAACTTGATCATTCTTGATTCTGATTATTGCCTAAATTTTACTTATAATTCCTCTTTTAAAAGGGTGAAGAGTGGATTTAAATCATATCAACATTTCTGTGGTACTTATAGAATGGCATGGGTTGGAAAATGTGATCTTTTCAAGGAAATAATAACCTTTTCTGAGTCTAACCATTTGCTTTCCTTAATAAGGTTAATTCAGATATCAGATTTCATTGTCTGAAAAAAAAATTCTATGATCTTCAAAGTTTTGATGTTTTTCATTTTCTATTCTATTTTTGTTTTATGACACATAATTCAGGCACTGGACTGAATTTAAATCAGTAGACTGATTGGCAACCTAAAAATTGGTTTTCACAAAAGAAGTTTGAATGACTTGGGAGATTTGTTTACATTTTGGTAACTTTTATTCCTTTCCTTTAATTTTTTTATTTGAAATCTCTTTTCTAATGTAACCACATGATGATACCTTAAGTTAGATTACTTGCGATGAATGTTTATCCAAAACCTCAATGCATCCTAACTATGTTTAGAACATTGGTATGGTGTGACTGGTTACTGATTCAGCAAGCAAGCAAACATAACTAAAGTCACTTGACTTAGTGACTTTGTAATTCAAATGACATAATATTGATCTAGAAAAGATCTGATCCAGATTTGTCAAGTTAGTGTGATATCACACACTACTCCATATTATACTTATGTCTGACTATGCAAATGCGTTTACCAATTTGCAATTTGTTTCTTTCTTGGGGTCAAACCCCTAAGTTTTGCTGTGTCCAAACATATATTAGTAAAGCCGTAGATAAAGCTGAGACTTGTACAAGAAGTTAATATATCTTTTTGGATGACTTGGTGTGTTCCAAATCCTTTGATAGTTTCAAACCCCTAAGTTTTGCTGTGTCCAAACATATATTAGTAAAGCCGTAGATAAAGCTGAGACCTGTACAAGAAGTTAATATATCTTTTTGGATGACTTGGTGTGTTCCAAATCCTTTGATAGTTATCTTGAACATAGAAGGGGGCAAAGCAGATGTGGTTTCTGTCCTTGCAGAATCTGTAGTCACACTCAAAGATCATGTTGGAGAATCACATTATGGAAATCTGTGATTAGAAATAACAAGGACATATTTAAATATAGGCCATACTAAATGTTTGGATAGATATATACCCATAAAGTACATGGCACATTGCATGGTACCTAGCAATTACTCAGTAACTGTTACATGCTAATATCACTATTATTTTTATTACCTTTTTTTTTTTTCCAGTTTACCCAAATAATTCTCTGGTCATAGGCAGAACGCATCACAGGTAGACATGTATAAAGGCACTGCAAAAAGTTCATGGAAAAACAGAATTAAAAGATAATACAAACCTTTCCATGAACCTTTTGAGGTACTTCATATAAGGAAAATGAAATTTGATTCTTTTAACATCCATGCGGACCAATTTTGTGCTGCAAACTTAAAAGAGCCCTTATTTCTCCTCTGATGTGGAGAGAAGTCATTTCCTTTATTTTCATATCTAAATGTTCATTGTTTCAATCGGCACCCTACCAAACTGATAGATTCCTCCAGTTGTGTATCAGTGTGGTTGCCGAGAACATTACAAACCCAGTAATTAGAAGGAACTGTTTTCCCATTATTTTCTTCCCAAAGCATTGCCTATGCTGGAAATGCTGTAAAAACCTTAGACACTATAGTAAAAATGCTATTTTTAAGAACAAGCTTTCATCATGGAAAAGACACGTAAGCAAAAAGAAGGCAATGAAAATCACCCAGTCCAACACGCAGAGAGAACTACTGTTATAGTTTATGCTTATTTCCTTCCAGTTCTTTCTTTGTGCATGGAAATGCCTTTTTAAATGACATCATAGTATAACATCCTATTCTGCAATTGGCTTTTTTTCAATTAACATTGTATGAGAAATGTCTTTTCATGTCATTACTTTTTTACAATATTGTTTGCGTTGGTTATACCATATTTATTTAACCAACCTCCAATTAATGGGCATTTAAGTTCTTTTTACTTTTATCTTTTATTTTTTTCTAATATAAATAATTCATTGAATGAACAACTGAGTTTCCATTGTGGAGGGAGTTTTTATGTTAAAATAGCTAAATTATTTCAAATGTGGAGAAAGTGCTTTGGTGCTGATAGTAGAATAAGCTGAAATGATTGCATGTGAGGGCTTCATGTGCCTCCTTTTTAAGGTCCCAGAGGTCACAGACAGATGTAACATCTTTTTTAAAACGCTGGAAAAGTTGAACCCCGAATAATTAGAGAAGATTAATAACCCAGAAATGAACTGTGACTTGATAGAATAAGTTGAAATCAATTATAGATTGACTTATCAGGGGACCATTCTGTCACCTGTTTGTTCTTATGACAAATTCAAGGCAATTCAAAACAAATTTTCCGTTCACAGGTGTGTTCCTTTTCTAAAAAAAAAAAAAAGCTCTTTAAGTGTTATCTTGTAGGTTGAACAAGCTGTTGTTCCATGAATTAAAGTATACTTATCAGTCAATCCTTCTTGCCAGGAATGCCATCTCCAACCACACTGAAGAAGTCGGAGAAGTCTGGTTTCAGCAGCCCCTCCCCTTCGCAGACCTCCTCCCTGGGAACGGCATTCACACAGCACCACCGGCCTGTCATTACAGGACCCAGAGGTGAGCTGCTCCACAGGGACCCTTGGTTGTAACATTTTTATCATGGCTTTAGGACCAGAGTAGCAAAGTGAGAGACCATGAAGACTCCTTCCGAATGCCTCTGAGAGTAGTGAGTGTTCCAGTTTCTTATCACTGGGGCAGCCTTGCAAAAAGAGACTAACCCTGGTTTTTTTTTTTTTTTTTTTTTTTTTTTTTTTTTTTTTTTTTTGGCAATGAGATTTTCGAAAGAGGTGGGAAGGAACTTGAACCCAAATCAAATCTGTCCTACAAGTCGTGCAAGTGGGGGATTGGGGGGTAGATGAGTATATTTCCATGTGGTCAGTTACCAGTTTTTAAGTAATAGGTTTTTTTCATTCTCTTATCCCTGATGATTCTCTTTCCATGAAACCTGATTTCAATATGTGGCATTTTGTGTTGAGGTTGTTTACATCAGGGTGTTGACGAGCAGTCTTCATTTACTCCTTTTGAAGTGGGAGATAGTTTGTCTGGTTTTCATTGCAATGTTTTCATTATTTTTGTCTCATACGCTTTTAACTTTATTATTAAAATGTGTCCACAAGAAATATGATTTGTATTTCACATTAAAGACAAGCCTTAAACCTCAAGAGAATGTCAGCAAATCACTTAACTTGATCTTATTGCAAGATGGAAATATTTATTATTTTGTTTATGAAACTCCCACAGTAGGAGTATGAATAATTGTAACCATGTTTGCTTTCTTCCATCAGATTTTTGTTTAGGTAGGTTTGTGATCTACCAGCTGGTATCATAAAATATCCTAGAAAGTTATGGTCTCTTGTCTACATTGACATACGCCTGGGGAAACTGATATTTCTTGCATTAATCTCAGTGTTAGTCCCACAAATCTGAGTCCCTTTATGAATACTTTGAGTGCATCTCAGGGAGATATGGCAGGTGAGAGGGCTGCAGGTGTTGGGAAGTAACATTGAAGAAAAGCAACATTCTGATTATTGTGTGAAGCAATTTCTATATCCACAATTATGAAAACTTACTTGCTTCATCTTTAAATATCTTATGAGCATTGGTAGAACTTTGTCAAGATCCCTTATTTCATTTGTGTGTGTGTGGTATAATCAGAGAGGCTTGCCATACATATATAAATATTTTTTTAGGTTAAAAACCTGCATCTGAATTGGATTATACAGTCCCAGAATAAGTCTCTTTAAATAGTATAAGATTATGATATTATCTTCATAGTAAGATATTGCTATTCAGTGATGTTAACTTTATTGAGCATCTAAACCATAGTAGGGAATCAGAGATATGAAGCCCTCTTAGTCAGAATATTTATGGTCTTAGGGAGATAAGGCATGTGCTGTTTCTCATCATTTTATGGTCAGGTTAACATATTCTAAATGCTAAATGAATGTTAAAAGCAAACGTTTTTGCAGGAGCTCAGAGGAAGGGACTATGGAGGTTTATACATTCATTAAACAAGAATTTACGAGTGCCTGTCACTATATAGACACTGGGGACCAATGGTTTCTGTCCTCATAGAACATACAATCTAGTGCAGGAGAGAGACACACAAGAAAATGACCACTTAGAAGGTGATGTGGAATGTGCTACTACTTATCAGTTTGTATTAAACAAAGGGACTTCAAAGTGGTAGATAACACTGAGCTCAAATCTTAAAAGATGATTACACAAATGGAGGAAATTCCAAGCGAAGGAAAGATCACGGTGTAGCAGGGTAATAAAGACTGGGGAGAACAATATGCCCACAGTCTGGATTGCTGCCTCTTTGCCTTTCCACTTAACCTTCTGCGTTTGTTAATGTCCTCACCAATGTAATGGAGACAATAATACTGTGGAATGAACCTTTCCTCCCAATCTCATATCCTTACACAGTAACTATAATTAAAACATATTTGTGGGGCCAGCCCCATGGCTCACTCGGGAGAGTGCGGTGCTGGTAGCGCCAAGGCCGTGGGTTTGGATCCTATATAGGGATGGCCGGTGCACTCACTGGCTGAGCGTGGTGCAGACCACACCTTGCCGAGGGTTGCGATCCCCTTACCAGTCAGAGAAAAACAAAAAACAAACAAACAAAAAAACATATTTGTGGAGACTCCTTAAGAAGTATAAAACAATATGCATATAGTATCAGTTATTCAGTAAGTACTGAGTGCCTACTATGTGTCTTGCCTTAAAACTATAGTTCTAGAAACTATTGTAACTACAAAGCACTTACCCATGGGTGCATGATTGGGAGCTCCTTCATGCAAGATGACTAAGCATGTTTGCTAAAATGACACACACTGGGTTGAACTAGAGTGGACTTCTTAGCCCACAGCACAATGAGTTTTGATTCCCTATCTGTATTCATATTTATAGAATTGTATATGAGGCAATGAGAAAGATGCCTAGTTTAAGAATTATGGAATACCAAAGATTCTTTGTTTTCACCAGAATTCAAGATGGTCCCCAGCGTCCTCGGTTCTTCTTTCTGGAAAGTCTGCTCAGGTACCCGTTCTTACTGCACCCTGCTCCCTTAGTGGTCTGGTGAAGGGAATTGGAGTAGTTGAGAGCAAACTCTTGAGTTGCACCTTTGTGGTAAGAATCATAGAGTTGAGATAGGCTCACATAAGACTTTTTTTTGGCTAAGATATTTTTTAAAGGTTTGAATTCAGCCTCTTGTTATTTAAGAAGTATTTGCCACAGGTACTATATTTTCTTTCACTCTTCTCTGAACCCGTTGGAAATCTAATGGTTAGAATGATATCACATCTGATTGGTGATATAGGAAGATGAGGCTAAATTTGAGGAGGGAGAGTCTGACTGAGGGAGTCAGTGTGCAGTACATGTGACATGTGCACATAAAAGAGAATTTAGCCTTTGACGCTCCTTTTCTTGTATGCAGTTGCCACAACCCAAAATGGTAAGTCATCAGAGAATCCAAAGAATCAAACTTTAAAAGTCCTTGAAGAAGAGGAAAGTGTGTGCTCTTTGTCAGATTCCCAGGACATGAGGGTGGTGTTTAGGGGAAGCTGTTCACTGCAGTCTTGCTCAGGGTCACATGGTAGATGCACCTCTGGTTAGCACCAGGTTGCAAGACTTCTGCTGCCGTTCCTAAAATTTCTCAGGGGAATACCTTGACTGGACAAGCACCGGTTAGTAAGTGATAAACACATCTCAATGGAGTGATATTTTAACAGAGGTACAGCAAAGCCAGGTCTCCTCACTAAAAACACAATGGCCCTATTTTTTAATGCAAACATAAGCTATATTTGGAAATTTGGTGTTCACCATTACAAAGGAAACCTCTCTCTAAAGACTCCAAAGCAAAGGCAGAAAAATAGGGCCTTGAAGGGAGGCAGAACAGCACAGCAGTTGTCTTAGTGTGTTTGAGCTACTGTAACAGAATACCATAGAGTGGGTGGCTTATAAACAACAGAAAATTTTTTCTCACAGTTCTAGAGGCAGAGAAATTCAAGATCAAGGTACCAGCAGATTCAGTGTCTGGTGAGGGTCCACTTCCTGGTTCACAGATGCTGTCTTCTTGCTGTGTCCTCACATGGCAGAAGGGGCAAGGAGGCTCTTGGGGGTCTTTTCTAAGGGCACTGACCCCATTCATGAGGGTGCCCCTTTCATGACCTGATCATCCCCCAAAAACCCTAGTACCTAATCCCATCACACTGGGGGTTGCGATTTCAGCATATGAATTTGGGGAAGAAGGGGGACACAAACCTTCAGTCTATAGCAGCAGTTAAGCACAAAAGCTCAGGGTGTTAGATGAGCCAGCATGTGACCCCTGTGTCTATCACTTGTACCAGCTGTGTGACCCTGGCACATTGCTTTACCTCTCTGAATCATAGGTCCCTCATCCATAAATTGCAGGTCATAATATCTAACTCAAAAGAATTGTATTATGTAAGGAATAAATAAAATCATGTATTTGTAGTCATTTGCACAGTGCCTGTAAATAGAGTATGTATACTGCTCGTGCAAACAATTAAATACTCTATTTTTGCTGAGACTTTGAAAATCTCATTCTATCCCTGTTGTCTCCCCATGTCAACATTGTACCCATCCCCAAGACCAGCGCAAGTCCTGCTTTGGACATGAAAGCAGCTCCACCTAGCCAGCCATCATCTCACACTTCTTAAACTCCTGCAGCCTCTCATGTCTGCACACTTACTCCACCAGCTGTTTTGATTGGTTAATGTACATGTCTCATCGTCCTCCTAGAGTGAAACCTCTGAAGGGAAAGATCTCTCACTTTCACATTTGGTTATCTTTGTTGTGCCTCAAACAGAGGGTTTTATTCTTAAATATTGGTTGAATGAATAAAAATAATTCAATTGTATATAAATGCACACAAAAGACATTCATCTTCCTGACCCTGACAGGTTCTCATTGCTTCAAAAGAACCAAGGGTGATATACGTATGCTAGTTTATGCAGTACTTCTTTATAAGGAGTGTCCAAGATGGGGAAGAACCATGGCTTGTCATTCAAAGAAAACGTACATAAGATTATCTGAGTCAAGCCTTGATATTAAAAGCTATGGTTTTCTTAGTTTACACTGTTCTAACCACTTCCCTATTTTCATTGTAAAGGTAGAGGCATGTGGTTATTTGAAACTAATCCCCTCTCTGATATTGGCTTTCTTTGTGGCTTTGGTAAATCACTTAACCTTGTAGCCTCAGTTTGGCCATCTGTACCATGGGAATAAGACTTTGCCACCTGTTTCTCTATGTGGTTAGAATTAGGTAAAAGGGTTAAACTATTCTGGAATATGCTGTGGGTGGGGGAGAAGATATTGAATTTCAGTAAAGGCAATTGTACATCATTATACATTATTACAGTTACTGTGCAATTTAAGCTGAAACATTTCAAAGACTTTTTCTTACCACTACCTAAAATTGTAACTGTAATAAAGTATTTAATCATGACAATTTATCTTATTCATGATCATTGAAAATAAAACTTTGTTCTTCCCTTTCTTTTTTCAAAAGTTGCAAGTTTGCCTGATGA